AAAAAACAAAAAACAAAAAACAAAAAACAAAAAACAAAAAACAAAAAACAAAAAACAAAAAACAAAAAACGCGCCGAGAGGAAGCGAAAGAAGTTCTTTCGCTTCCTCTCACCACGGTTTTCTTTCGCTTCCTCTCGGCGCGCTTTTTTTTTTATTTCTTTGCGCCCTGATTTTCGCGCTGCGACCCAACTAACTGAACGCCTGGAAGAGGCGGGGGATCGCGTTTGTCGAAAAAACATACACTTATCTCGTGATTTTTAGCCATTCTAGGACTTAAAGTATTAGGAAAAGTGCTTGTGTAAATGTTTTTTGGTTCGGTTCAGATGATCAGTTGTCTAGATAGCCAAAGTAAGTTCCAGATGTCTACACTATTTTCCGGCCACCATATTGGAGGACTAAGGAGGTCCTCCAACATGGCGGCTTCATACCAGGCCCTATCATTTTGCGTGAAACATTTCGACGAATATCTCAACTTTGGGACAACGCACACACCTTAAACTTGGAGAACTATCTTCTTTATTTATCGCCTATAATATCACAATTTTTTGACTCATTCATTGAATGGGCTTTGATTTTATTTTTTAATGCGTGACAATGAACACAGCGGCAAAACACTTTTGAGCTTGGGCGAGCTTGCATAACTTGTGGTGACATCCGGTTGGTGGCGCGAAAACGTCGCGCAACACGCAGCACCCTCGCAGCAGTCTCGCAGCAGCAAAGATGGCGCAACGAATAATTGGACCTCTTTCTGTTGGTTACGACGAGGAGTTTGTAAATCCACTTGACGACGATTTTACGTGTTTAATTTGCCAAGTAGCATTACGAGAGCCAGTTCTCACGAGATGTGGCCATAGATTCTGCAGACTGTGCCTCGAACAATGTTTTTCCAGGTGAGTGTCACGATTCATTTCAACGAAACTACAAGTAGTATAAGCTTCGAACGGTAACAGTAACATTTTTTCGTTGCGGTTGTTAGTCACTAGAAAACGAAATATTGCGAAAGGAAGCTGAACAATATAGTAAGCTTTGGATAAACGTTTCGGCGCGTTCAAGCCTCACTGATTTGAGGACTTGCGCAAGCTGCCGTTTTGTTTACTGAGAGTTACTGACCGAGGTGAGACAAAAAAATCATAGTTATATAGCACTTTTCACCTTCAATAATGCCACTGTTGGTAAAATAAAGGTGTGGGAAATGTAGCTAAAGTGACAATTTCAAAGGAACTTTTTTGACTTTTAGCACGAAATCACTCGAAAAGTTGAAAGTGGAAAATTAACAACACATGTCTTCGGCGTCACGGCAGCCACGTTGGTGTCCAAAACAATGAAAGGGCGGCCATATTGGTGTCCCAAACCAATTCTTGGGGAGTTGAACTCCATTCTTATGTAAAGACTGTCTTTTGGTCTAGCTTTTCTTATTTGCATCAAACGGGAATGCAAGGCAATTTCAGGACTGCCCAAAATGCTTGCATGCAAGTTTAGAATGGATTATGAGAAATGTCAAAAATAAAGTTAATAGTAAAGGGTATTATTAATTTTTATGAACCAGAAAATTCTTGAATAAGAGAGGTCAGAAACCAGTTCACTAAATTTTGATTAACTGCGTGTGGCTGGCAGCCTCTCATTGTCATCAGACTGATACTAAAATGGCCAGCAGTCTGAGTTGTTATTCTGTGAAGAAGGGTGCTGCCGTAGATCTCATATTTATGTTCGTATATGCAGGGCATATTAATACAAAGCCATGAGTTGTGACACTTAGACAAACATTTCGTTAACATCAAATGCTTCCACCAGAATTCATAATTGCGTATGTAAGACCTTTTGGGGCAGGCAAAAATTCTAGGGATTTCATTAAGTGTGGGCACCGGGGAAATTAAACCAGCTGTGAGGATGATTTTGCCCACGTGGTTTGACCATCTAGGGGAACGTTTCTCTCATAAAGAAGTTCAGCTCGAAATGTTTTGCCTGGCTGTGAAAACAGGTTGCACTTCTGCTGAAAAACCCCGTGCAAAAATACCAATAGTCACCGCCTTCAAATAAGCACTTCACTCCTTCACAACAAATGCCAGCTTATTCAAAGCACCTGAGCTTGATCTAGAGCAAATGCAGCTTCTATGTTTTGTTCAAAGTATGCTGTTTCTAACGAGTTTTCTAACTATAGCATGATTGGTGTGACTACATGTACCTCCCCTGAAAAAAGGGCTGCCCTCAAATATACAATGCAGCAGACTGGCTTCAAGCAGTCTTGATAATTCTAGCCTATAGCAGTCCGCAATTTACCAGTAATTTATTGTAATTTATTATTGGACTCCGACGTGTGCATGTACATATAAGCTCTTGGCACACCAATCATGTCACAGATCAGGGAAATGAAGAACCAAATATGGCAATCAAGAACTTGGATTTGATTGCACCCTGTAATATTTATATAATAATGTCCATTGTTGCTATCAGTTGAACAAATTAGAAGTTAAGGGTTGATTGTTGTGGTATCATTAAATGAGCTCTGAAATGAGTTCTTTTCCAGGATGTATTGGCTGATTATAAAAATAAGAGAGAATGGCAAAAGTAGTTGTGAGTTAACAGAGCCTTTAAATTTGACAAATGTAATGCTACATTATTCTGGTATTTTGTTGCAAATAGGCAGAATGGTCAGCGTTGCCCTTACCCTTGTCCCGTAGACAGAGCAGAACTTGTGTATGAAAAGGTAAGCAAAATAAAATGTTCGTTTTGTCAGTGAATTTTGGGATCTCCACTTAACACATTCTTATGTTGACATTATGTAGTTGATGTTTTGCTAGTTGGATTTGTAACTGACTTTTGTCTAAGGGCATTAAAGGACCCTAGTCGGCCTCGCGCATTTTCGATGCCATCAAAATGATTGATATTGTGTGGTAAAGCAAAATCTTATTACTTTACTGTAAGTTGTGTTCCTGAAAGTATATTCAATTATCTTAAGTAGTTTCATGGGGATTTCTCTCATTTTGACATGCTCCGAATAAAATATAATAGCCAAATTCGTGAATGTAAACAAAAACAAAGGTGTGGCTGCCTAGGGTCCTTTAAATGTATTTTTTTTCCCTGTGTAAACAGACTTGTAAGAATATGCTCTTTGACAATGTATTTCAGATGTAACATATTAATGACATCGGTGCCATCGTCAAAATCAATGAACAATCAATGGATAATCAATGGGTACTCAGTGTATTAATGTATATAAATGTAATTGATAGGCCACAAAATTCTTATTTATTTCATCAATTAACTACTGATGGCATTTCATAGGACATTGATGTGATTGATTTCTCATTGATACAATCCAGTAACTACATGGAAACAGTAGCTGGTTAATTTGTGATTGCTCATTGATCATCTCCAACTTTCAATGACTAATCTGACTGGTCGAAAACCCATGTTTTATCAGAGCATAAAACATAGAAAAAGCGTGTTTTATTGTTTTTTGCCACATTACTTCTATATCATAAAGCAAATGAAGAAGCCCAAGCCGTGTATTACGCTGTGATAAAACACTCCGGACTTTTGAGAACACTTGAGAAATGTAGAAAACACTTGTCTGCAGCTCATGTTTTCTACGTTTCCCTCGTGTTCTCAAATGCCTGTCGTGTTTTATCACAGTGTAACACACGGCTTAAGCTTCTTTATTTGTTAACTCATTTATGTCATTGATCATTGATTTGTTGCACCTGTTAACTTGTAAAAAATGTGATCAAGATTATGAAGACTAAAAATAATGTTGTACTGTAGTCTAAAGAAAACTGGGGGCTGTTAAATGGAAAAAAAATATTCATAAAAGCCCTCTTGTGTTTTGAATGCTTTATTATTTTTCTCCTGTGGGATGTGTTTCCTGACAAAGCAACAGAAAGGAAGATCCTTTCTTTGGCCATCAAATGTCCAACTGAGGGCTGTGTCTGGACAGGGGAACTAAGACAAAAACAGGTAAGACAAGGTTGGAAATTAACTTTTTTTGGCAGGCGCCAACTGGTGACTGAAATTTTTTTTTCAGTTGCCATATGGAAAAATGTGGTCGCCAAAAAGTGTTAATAAAATTTTTCCTTTGCAGCCAAACACAAACCAAAATTTTTGGTCGCCACGGGCTTGCCAGCAAAATATTTGCAATCGATGTACTCAGGAATCAAACCAGTGCTGAAGTCATCTTTTGACCACTTTGACAGATCTACATTTCCACCTTTTGACACCCAGAGAATGTAAAAATCTTCATCTAATTTCTTCGCGGATGTTCCGTCTCCACTTTGTAATACATTACGGAAAGATTCCGAACATCTTTGGACACCACATCGCCTGATAAATATTCATGGCGCCTTTTGGACCCGCAATACGTATGTTATGGGACACCACTGAAAAACATGGTGGGGAAGCTTCGCACTGGTCGTAGCTGTAAAACGTTGTGGGAGATTTATAATAGCAGGAAAATCGATTTTATACTTCAACAGCAGCGGAAAGGTAAAAAGGAAGTGACCAATTGGCTGGCGGCTTTGAAATTGAATTTTATTTCAATTGATTTGGCTGAAAATCAAAGTTATAGCATGTTTGTGTAATTATCGTGGCATGAAATAGTTAATCACCCGCTGGCAAGCAGTTGTGAAATTCTGGTCGCCAGTGCAAAATGTTAAGTTGCATTGGCGACCAGGAAAGCGCAATTGCGGACCCTGTAAGAGGACCCCTTTGATAACATTACTCATGTACTGAAGGGTTATCCTGTATAAATATATGTATTTGTTATTATTATTATAATTATCACTACCACTACCACTACCACTACCACTACCACTACCACT